CAAGATTCTTCCCCTGGAAGATGGTCATCTACTCAAGAGTTAATGTGGCTTCAGAAAGGACCAAGGAATGGCAGACATGGCATTTGCTGCTCAACAACCCCCAGGAAAAATGCCATGGGTCTATAAACAATGCTAATCCACCTAACACAAGGCCTTTGATGCTGTCAGTCCTGAGAGCCTGTGAAAGATCATGGAGAAATTTGGTTGCCAGCAGAAGTTCATCAGTATTGACATCAATTTCATGATAGCATGCTTGCCCAGGTTCTGGATAATGGACAATGCTCTCATAGAACCATCAGTTACAGCAAATGGAGAAATTGAGAATGTTGTGGATGAGTTCAGTTATTTTGGTAGTATACTTTTCAGGGATGTCCACACAGATGAGGAAGTTGCGGCATCCACTGCCAGAGCTAGCTCAGCGTTTGGGAGGGAGACTCCAAAGGAAAATGTGGGACAGGAGATGTATTAGACTGCCTACCAAACCGAAGGTCTACAGAGCTGTTGTGCTGGCCTGTGAAACCTGGCCGGTGCACCAGAGCCGCACCAGGAAACGGAATCGTCTCCATTTGACTCGTCTTAGGAAGATTCTGAAGATCACCCAGCAAGATAAGGGCCCAGACACTGGGGTCCTTTGTTGAGCTAAACTGCCAAGTATTCCAAGTGTACTGCAGAGAACTCAACACCAATGGCTGGTCACACTGTTCAAATGCTAAATGTATGTTTGCCTAAAAGACAATTTTACAGAGAATTCACAAACGGCAAGCGCTCACATAGAGGTCAGAAGAATCAACTGTGAGACATGAGAGACCCTGGCATGGCAGGCCCCCCTCAAAGAAAGTTGTGTTCTGTGAGGAAAGCAGAACTGTAGTAGCTCAAAAGAAAGGTGAGTTTTGAAGATTTAGAGACATCTCGGCTCCACACGTTCCAGTGGACTATTTGTGCCTGACCTGTGAGTGGAGCCTCTCAAGCTCATCATGGTCTGTCTGATCAACCAGCCAGACACACTGGACCTCGCCCGACATGCTGGTGTCACGCTGGTCCTCTGACAATGAAGGAAAACAACCACCAGCTGGCCGGCCAGCCAGCCTCTCCCCTGAGCTCTGGCCCAGCACCATCAACCACCTGATGGATATCTCCATCCAAATGTCTCCTAGATAATTCAAACCTGAAAAGTCCAAAAACAGAATTCAAAATGAAGAAGAACACCCCTCTTCTGAATTTCCCCCCACTTACCTGTCCCCCTTCCCACCAATTTAGATCCAAGAGGAAGAATGGGCCTACACCCCACTCCCTCACATCACTTCCAGGCAATCTCTCCTCCTCCAACAAGGTTCCCTCCTGTCTGTCTAGATCAGAGGTGTCAAACACACAGCCCACACTCTACCCAAATCAGATTAAAATATAAGTGGGAAATATTTAACAAAATAAATAAAAACACAATAAAATATAAATATTATGTTTTAAAACTAAATTAGCATGCAGCCCATCGGGATCTTTATCCATTTTGATTTGAGTTTACAACACTGACCCAGATCACCTTGTCAAAAACCCTTGTGTCTACCAACTGTCATTGAGTCACTGCCCAGATCACACTCGGTCCTTCACAAAGGAATCGAGTAGATGGCTGGGCCCCAGCCTCTGCTCTCATACTACTTCAGGGCTTCGACTTTCTGAGCACTTCCAGTCTCCCAGTTCAGTCTCCCCAATCCCCATAACCTACACAACATAGACTCCTTCATGCCCCTGTCACCCACAGAGGTAGGGAGCCCTTAGATCTCACTGTCCCCCAAAACCACTTAGAGGATCTGGAATCTGAAACTCCTCTCCCGGCTGTCCTCAAACACTCACTGCCTCCTTTCTCCTGCGCTGCGTCTTCTTTTCCCCAGTCTGTCCCACTCTGTAGGTAATCATTACAAGACACAGCGCTCCTCCTCTCCTGGAACCCTAGAGTCACACCGTGCATCACCGCCACCAGGCGCCATGTTCTTACTCCCAGAGCAGCTGAGCTTTGCCTAGAAGTCAACAAAACCTCCAAATGCAGTACAGGTTCTTATCTCAACCTCACCATCCTTATATTTTTCCTCCGATTGACACTACCTCACTCCTGACCTTCCAAACCTTTTCCTAATCTCCCCATTCACTCCCAACAGTTTAGTTACCATCACTACACACACACACACACACACACACACACACACTCCTGTGGGATATTTCCACAGGATTATTCTGTCAGCATCTTGAACTCCATTAATTTCCATCCTAAACCCCAACTTCATCACACTTCCCCATTCCACGAAGGGCACTAACATCCATACTCCCAGTCACAAAGGGAGATAATCTCAGTCACTGCTGACCCTTCCCACTGCCTCACTGTCCGTAATCAATCATTTGTCATATCTTGTTTATACGATCTCGTTCTTTCACTCTAATTTCCATTACCCTAGTTCCGACTAATCACTGCTGACCTAGGCTACTCTAAAATTCTCCTAATTGGTTTTCCTGCTTCCCATCCACCCTCCACAAAACTACCAAAAGAATCTTCCTGTAAAGGCACGAGTCTGGCCACGTAACTACCATGCTCAAAAAAACAATCAGTGAGTGGTTCCCTATTGATTGCCTCTATAATAAAATATTAATGCAGTCTAGTATGGAAGAACTTACACTCAGGTTTGGTACTCATGTAGTTGCCAAGATTGGAAGGTGAGTCAATCCTTATTTTAGAGCTCCATCTAGCCAGCCCCAGACTCACCCTCCAACACTGCTTCATCCCAGGGCCTACCACGCCCAGGGCCTAGTCATATGGGTATCTTGCCATCTTCTCTGCCACTGTGTGTCCATCCTCACTAACAACAATGAACCTTACATGGTTTCCAGTCAAGTTTCAGGACTGTTGGAGTTACCAATATTTTGTATTGAGTGGACGCTCAGCCCCGCTCCCATCTAGCCAAACCCCAAGCCCCACATGATCCTATCCAGACATTTGCCCTATTACAGCCCCCAAACGCCTGCCCTGGCATTTCACCTTTCTCGGGGAACAATAATCAAATCAACATTACTATTCTCTTGGAAAGAGTGACAGTCTACTTCTCCAGAGCTCCACTCAAAATCCCTGTTGACGGCCTGAGTCCATCCACACACTCTGGGGAGAAGCTGCTTGCAGGCCCTATCCCCCTTTTTTGTGTGTATCCTCGGTGCCTAAACCCCGTCCCTGATACACAGGAGCTGCTTAAGGAACGCTGACTGACTAGACTCTACTGAGATGTCACTTCCTCTGTAAATCCCCCAAAGTTCTTAATGCTTTCTCTCGCCCCGAACGCCTTCCGCTTCTTCACCTCAGGCCCTGGTACGTCTCCCAAGTCACTAGTAGGGTGAGGGCTCTCGGGAGGCTGCCACTTTCCTGTTTTGGGGAACCCCTGCATACACTCTGTACTTGATGTCTGTGGAGTGGAAGAAGGAAAAAGAGCATGGATTTTGAAGACAAGTCCAAGACTACATCTGCTAAGTGTGCTACCTGAACAAATCAAAGGCCTTCTTTTCTCTGCGATGCTATTAGATGTTTTTGTAAATGAAGGTGTTAAGAGAAACAACAGCAGTACACAATATGGAATGCAAAAGCAAATAATCCAAACTGATTCACAAAATCAGGCTTGGATATTTATTTCCCACCTAGAGAATATGGCATAGCTTTTGTCGGCACAAAGGCGGCCTCAGAGCCAGCAAGCGAGACCTAAGATTAAGTCTGGTCTCTGACACATGGGTTGTGAAATGCTCACAAATCAAATCATTTATCTATCCTCTCAGTGCCCAGGCAACTCTCTAAGACTAAATTAGAAAGCAGACACCAATAGGAGTTCCCCAAACCAAAGGAAACCAAAGGTCAAGATTTTTTAAAAAGAAAGAAATCTTTCTTCACCGAATCAAGGCAATTCTTTCACAGTCTTTCCGACAGATTTCCTATCATACTCTCCACCACAGCTGTTCCAAACCTTCTCTTGTCTCTCCAAGCTTCCCACACGCCTCCCCCTCCCCCTATATTTGACTGAGAGAAATAAGGCTACCTGCTCCCTCTCATCACCCTCTACATCTCAAACCTCCTTCTTTACTCTAGTTTCAGATGGTCTTCTTTGACACGGCCAACAGCCTTCAACTGGCATCCTTGATCCCATTCCCCCATCACCCCCTGTCAGAAGCGCCATGCTCCTTCCTCTTGGCCTGCAAACAAGAACAGGTCTCCCAGACCTCTAAAAAGCCTTCACGTGACTATCATCCCCTCTATCCATCAATCATCCTATCTCTCCTTTTCCACAAGCAAATGTTTAGAAAAGGCTATCTACACTGCTAGTCCCCAAATTATGGTTCAATTTGTGAAGCTCTACAAGGTTTTAAAAGGGGCTTCCCACACAGCAATAGAAGCCCCCCCCACCATGGTATTACAACCACTTTATAAAGGAGGAAATTTAGGCTGAGATATTTGGGGGAGGAGGGGAAGTCAAGTCCACGGGCAAATTCTGAAGGCAGGATTTGAACCCAGTGGATAGTGGATTTAAACCCAAGGTTTCGTGCAGTGGATAGAGTGCTGATTTCCTGAGCTCAAATTCTGTCTCAGACACTTAGCAGCTGCGCGACCCTGGGCAAGTCACTTAACCCTGTTTGCTCATCAATAAAATGAGCTGGGGAAGGAAATGGCAAACCCTCTCCAGGGTCTCTGCCACCAAGAGTGACACACGACGGGGTAAACTCTCCCACACGCTGCTGGGTTCCCTCTCGGCCGGCAAACCCAGCCTAAGCCCGCCTCACCACGTCTCCCTCCCGCTCCCCCGGCCCCGCACGGCGCCTGGCACGCAGGGGGCGCTTAGTGCGTGATCGCCGACATCGACAAGCACCCAGCTGCGGCGGGGGCACGGCCCGGGCCACAACGAGCCCGGGGAGGTCGGGCTGGCGCCCCGGCTGGCGCCCCGGCTGCCTCACTTTCCCCGCCCAGGCCCGGGGCCCCGCCTCACCGGCCGCGAAGTGCAGCGGGGACGACTTGCGGCCGGCCAGGTCCTTGGCGTTCACGTTGGCCGCGTCCACGAGCCTCCGCACCCGGGCCACGTCCCCGTTGCGGCAGGCCTCCAGCAGCTCGCGCAGGGCGCCGCTCACGGCCGGCCCCGGGCCCGCCTCCGGGGGGCTGTCAGAGGGGCTGGGCCCCAGCGAGCCGGGGGACGACGAAGAGGAGGAGGCCGAGGACGACGAGGACGAGGTCGACGAGGAGGCCGAGGAGGAGCACGAGGACACCGACGTGGCGGAGGCGGCGGCAGCGGCCGGGC